TCTTCGTCCAAGCGACAGATGGCTTTCTGGATGCTGTCGCGGTTGCTGGATTGACAGCTCCCTGGTTGTGCGGAGGGGGAAATAAAAGAATAAATCCACCTAAGGCCTCCCAACTGGTACCTCCTAAGTAGAACCCTCGGGTCCATCTATCCGAGAAAGGGGTGGAATTGAACGGCTTGCTTCCTTTTCCCTAGATTTCGCCTGCACTCTTGACATGCTGAGGGATGAGAGTATCTGTAGCTGAGGGCTGAATTCTGGGGTCCTTTGGGGTCTCTGACCTGAGTGGTTTTCTGGAAGACATTTCACGACCCAACTAGGGAGCATCGTCAGTGCTGGAGGGGAGTGGGGGTTTGCGCAGAGGGGGAAGAGGAGGAGGAGGAGGAGGACTGTGGGGTCCTTAGTGCTCTCTGGGCTGGGATACTTTCTTGCAGACATTTCATTACCCATCTAGGGAACATCATCAGAGCTAGGAGGGGGGTTTGCAGGGAGGAGGAGGAGGAGGAGGAGGAGGAGGAGGAGGAGGAGGAGGAGGACTGTGGAGTGGATGGTCTCTGCAGTGGATGGTTTTCTCGAAGACATTTCATGACCCAACTAGGGAACATCATCAGTGCTAGAAAGGAGTGGGGGTTTGCATGGAGGAGGAAGAGGAGGAGGACTGTGGGGTCCTTGTTGTTCTCGGAGCTTGGCGGTTTTCTTCCAGACATTTCACGACCCAACCAGGGAACCTCATCAGTGCAGACTCTTAACTTAGTTGGATAATGAAATAGCTGCTAGTCCTCATCAGGTCAGTTCTGCAGGAGACATCCACCAATCCTAGTCTGTTGTTTTTTTTAAATCCCCCCTGCAAGCTGCCCAACCTTGATTTGAGAGGCGTCTCAGCTTCTGGATGCAAACTGTTTCTTAAGAACTGCCACCTTTACACAAGGAGTTTCTATCACCACGAGAGCCGCCACCACAAACCTTTCACGATCTCTACGTCCTCCAGAGGCACCTTCCAAAGCAGTTTGTACTTGCTGGCTGTGTCGATCACGCTGGCTGCGGTGTAGCTGCAAAGAGAACCCCAGAAAGGAAAACGGAGACTTGGATGACCCAAAGGGGCGCGGCACAAAGGCTGGAGGAAAAACTCTCCCAGGAACAGCCTTGGGCTGCAGGGAATCCAAGTCCAAAACAAGGTGAACACAAACAGCAACAGTCCAAAACAAGCCAAACGGAAGTAATTAGTTTGGTAGGGCAGGAAAAAGGAATTTCAAACTTGAGAGCACGGCAAAATTCACATCGTTGGGAAGACGCCAGGAACACGGATAAGCCACGACAATTTGCCTTTTTTATACACTGTGTTCCCAGCTGCAGTTAATGAAGGGGATCAGGGCCGTTTCCTCCCCCGTAAAGCCATGCAACCCACGTTGCTCCCTTCTCCATTCCTCCCTGCGTGCCCTAGGATGAAGAGAGGGTGAGCCTGGGTCTTACTCTGAACTTCTTCTCCCTTGTTCTGCCTCCCCCTGCTCTGCCCAGCCGGACTTTGCCCTTCCCCAGTTTCCTCCACAGCCAACGGAGCCACACCTCCCTTCTCCCTGTCGGCTGTTCGTCTTCCTCCTCAGATTCAGACGCCAAAGGGGGCATGACATAGACTGCCATCCCATAGCTGACTATCATTACAGGTATGAGTTTCCTTTAAAAACTCTTAACACGGGTCATCCTTGTCTTATAACCATTTGTTTAGTGACCGTTCCAATTTACAATGGCATTGAAAAAAGCGATTTATGACCATTCTAAATGGCGCAAGAGGTAACTGGGCTTTCTGGTTTTTCTTTGAAGATGTTTTGCTTCTCATCCAAGAAGCTTCTTCAACTCTGACTTGGACGGTGGGGAATGGAAGGATTAATATTCCTGGTCATTTGCGTTCTTTTGAGAAAGTTGTTGAGGCACCTCGGTGATTTAACTCTGTCCTCAGGTTCACCGGAGAGGTGCAAACCAGTGTGGAGCCTTCTCGGAACCGCTGAAAGGATCTCGTGTTGTGGAGCTGTGCTTTCTGGAGGATGTTTCAGCAATTCCAAGCAGGCTCCATACCCATTTACCCAACTCAGGTGACCCTGATGAGGACACAGGTGAACCTCCAAGTGGCCTCAACGACCCTCTCAAAGGATGCAAATGACCAGCTGTCTGCAAGGAGTATCAATCCTTCCGTTCCTCACCATCCAGTCAGAACTCAAAACCATGCTGGCTGGAGAATTCTGGGAGTTGAAGTCCATCCAGTGGTTAAGAATGCAGTATTGCAGGCTAATTCTGCCAATCAGTTTGATCCTCACCAGCTCAAGGTTGGTTGACAAGGCCTTCCGAGGTCAGTAAAATGAAGACCCCATATTGTTGGTGTGTGTGTGTGTGTGTGTGTGTGTGTGTGTGTGTGTGAGAGAGAGACAGGCTGACTCTGTCAACCACTTAGAGAGGGCTGTAAAATAGTTTGAAGCGGTATATAACTCTACGGGCTATTGCCTCCAGATCTACCGTTTCCCCAAAAATATGACCTACCCTAAAAGTAAGTCCTAGCTTGATTTTTATACCTGCGCCCAATATAAGCCCTAACACCCCCTCCCCCCAAAAATAAGACCTCACCCACTTCAGAGTGGTTGGGTAAAAACTAAACTAGGGAGAGATTGGGGGTGGGTGGAGCTGCCCTACTACTTACCTTTGGGCAGGTGTAACCAGGCCTCACATACCACGACACCTGCCTTGCCGGCCCATTTCTTCTGCAGCCGGCAAGGCTGGTCAGGCTTTCCTGAAGGCCTCTGGAGCTGAGAGCAAAGCTCAGGATCGATCCAGAGGTCTGTTATCGGCCGCAGAGGCCTTCAAGATAGCCGTGCTGGCCGCAGAAGAAGGAGTTCCGGAAAGAGGCCAGCAAGGAGCGACGCGCGCAAGTGAGGTTAGTCAATGGATGACTTCCCCTGAAAATAAGACCCGGTGCCTTTTTTTTGCTAGCCAGGGTCTTATTTTGGGGGAAAAACACAGTAAGTCTTAAGAGTTGTTATTCTTGTGTACTTACAGACTCATGGAACTCCGTCGCAGAGACCCCGACTTGCGCTTCAGCGTGGTGCAAACGAGCAGGTCGGTGAAGAGGAACAGCGACCGATCCTTCTTCCCACCTACCGGCTTCTGCAAAGGAGGAAGGGTCACAATCATGGAAACCACACGGAACGTGGGGGGCTTTTGTGACACGCAAAGGGACCCCACAGATCCCTTGGATCTGGCTGAAGGAAAACGCACCGTTTCCACACACCGTTTCCTTAATTGAAGCATCGTTGCCAAATAGTTTTAAAGGCGCAGCTGCATAGAGTTACTCCTTGACTTACAACCATTCGTTTAGGGACCGTTTGGAGTGATAATGGCACTGGAAAAAAAAAAGTGACTTCGGACCGTTTTTCACACTTACGACCACTGCGGCATCCCCGTGGTCACGTATAAAAATGTGGACATTTGGCCTCCATTTATGGTGGTTGCAAAACATCCCTCTGGTCACATGATCAAAATTCAGACGCTTGGCAACTGGCTTGTACTTATGACGGACGCAGCACAACCCAGAGTCGTTTGATCTCCTCTGGCGGCCTTCCAACCAGCAAAGTCAATGGGGGAAGCCAGATTCACTTAACAACCATGTTACTCACTTAAGGCCAGCGGAGTTTCACTTAACAACTGTAGCAAGAAGGGTAAAAAAAAAATGGGGCAAAACTCATTTTTAACAATTGTCTCGCTTAGTAGCTGAAATTTCAGGCTTAATTGTGCTTGTAAGTCAAGGATTAGTTCTATTCCCTGGCACCAGATCACACTCCTTAGTTTGTTTTATTTATTAAACTTTCTAAAAGAATAAATAAAATTGAACCTGGCTGGGAGTTGCCACACTTCTGGGGCACACAATGGGGGGAAACAGAGATGGAAGGGACCTTGTAGGTCATCTAGTCCAACCCCCTGCCCAAGCAGGAGACCCTACACCATTTCTGACAGATGGGAGTCCAATCTCTTCTTGAAAGCCTCCAGGGATGAAGCTCCCACAACTTCTGAAGGCAACTTCTGTTCCATGGGTTGATTGTTCTCCCTGTCAGAAAGTTTCTCCTTATTTCCAGGTTGAAAAATCTCTCCTTGATCAGTTTCCATCCATTGGTCCTTGTCTGGCCTTCGGATGCTTTGGACAATAGCTTGACCCCCTCCTCCTCTCTGTGGCAGCCCCTCAAATATTGGAAGTCTGCTATCATGTCTCCCCTGGTCCTTCTCTTCCCTAGACTAGCCAGGCCCAGTTCCTGCAACCGTCCATCGTAGGTTTTAGCCTCCAGTCCCCTAAAATCACCCTGGTTGCTCTTCTCTGCACTCTTTCCAGAGTCTGAACATCTTAAGGAGATGCTCCCAAGCTCATGTCAAAGACCAAGGGAAACCACTCGAGGTATGGATGCTTTGAAGGAGGAGGACCTACCATTTCCACCACCATCTCCTGCCGTAAGAACCTCCGAAGTGGAGCTTGAAGCTGTCGAGGTGAGAGACAAAACGATCAGTTGCACTTCTAAAACCTTCACCAGCAGTTATCATCATCATCATCGCAACAATAACAACAACAACAATAATAGTAATAGTAAAGTCTAATAAAGGAGACGTTGCTTTACCCAACCAGGCCACATCATCACCGCTAGAAGGAAGTGGGCTTTGCTTTCTGTTTATAAACAAGTAGCTTGCTTGCGGAGAGCAAACCCGTCTCTCTCCTAGCGCTGATGATGTTACCTAGTTGGGTAATGAAATGTCTGCAAGGAAACAACCGAGTTTAGAGGCCACCAAGGACCCCACAGTTCTCCTGCTTCTCCTTCACCTATTCTCCTTCTACCCCACTCTGCAAATCCCTTCTAGGAATGATGATGTTACCTAGCTGGGTAATGAAATGTCTGCAAGGAAAATGATCAAGCTCAGAAAACACCAAGGATCCTAGAGTCCTCCTCCTCCTCCTCACGGTCCTCCATTCTGCAGCCCTCTTCCCTCCTAACACTGATGACGTTACCTAGTTGGGTCATGAAACATCTGCAACCGAGTTCAGAGCACCAAAGACCCACAGTTCTCCTCCTCCACCTCTTATTGCCTTCTAGTACTGATGATGTTACCTAGTTGGGTCATGAAACGTCTGCAAAGAGCAC